TTTTGCCAGGGCAGTCTGCTTGAGACCGGAATTTCTGCTTTGTGTTGTTTCTGGTTTATCCCTGTCTTGTATGTTGGTATTTGGCGATCTTTCACATGAGGAAGATCTTTCCTTCTATTAGATATTTCGTCTTGTTCAATCTCACCGTAAGAGAAATACATCAGTTTACATTCGGATGGCGTATTTCAGTGGGGTATTCAATAAGAGATTTAATGTGTTTCTTTTTTAGGACGTGATTAGAGAAATGAATCGGCTTGGGATGTTTGTCGACATATCACATGTTTCTGCAAAAGTCATGCGTGATGTTCTCAACATCACGGAGGCTCCAGGTATAAAATGAAAATAGTCGTGATTTGCGAAATCTGCGATGAAATATCGATTGGTTTTTGCTTTAAAATTTTGCGTATATATTTGTAGCCATTTTATACGAGATTTTCCAAACCTATTAAGCGGAAAAGAAGAAGTAAGATCAGAAGGTCATTATCTTTAGATCAAGAAAATAAATTCTGACCAAACACGAAATACAGGATCAATTACTTTAACGCGGAAAACAACGTTATCATTTTGGAGTGGAAACCACTAACTGGAACAATCAAAGTGGCAGTAAGCCACTGAACTCCGAAAAATGAATGATGAAGGTGATAAATGTAAGGGCCACTGCACTGACTAGAAGTTTTTTAACTTTTGTTGAAGGAAGGTCATATTTACACATGTTGAATAAAGACGGCATATCGCCCTTGAACCATACAATTATCCGAGCGTCTTATAATGTAACCGCTCGCGCAAACCTTATGCACGCAGTCTTACTTTCTGCTGTTTCATTCATCAGTAAAATTTACTGATCTCAGATCTGAGATTCCAGTTAAATACGCGTTATTTGTCAGCAGACTGTTAAATTATTGACCAACTATAAGTTGGCCCCCACGTCTCTCACGTTAGTCAGCGGACTTACCCGATATATTACTCCCTACTCCCACCCTGGAAAAAATGTAATATCTGCCATTCCTGCATAGGGTGGATATTAATCATTTGGGTTATTAGAATTTAATCAAAAAAATTGCTGATTGTACATAACAAGCTATAAATTTGAAGGAGTTATTGGTAACACCTGTTTCAGTTATTTTCAGTCACTCCTCCGCCTATGCACTGTGTGACAATTCGAGGAACGTTCCTGATGATGTCCTAAAAAAACTTGTGAGAACATTTATTCCCCCTTTCTTTGTTCATTCATTTGCTCCTTCTTTTGTTTATTTATTTGTCTTTTCATACCCTAAGTTGGCTGGTTTCATCACACTCGCAGTGTTTCTAAGCTCAAAGTAAATATGATAATAATGATATCAGTGTGCTTGCCTTACAGCCCAAGAATGGCGGAGTAGTTATGGTGAACTTTTATAACGATTACGTCACTTGCAGAAAAGATGCGACTCTCGGTGATGTTGCAGGTAATGGTATGTGATAAGTAATGAGATTCAGCATTCAAGTGTAAACAGAATGAGTTTGTTTCCAAATTCTGGTGAAGCTTGTTAAGGCTAGGGAAGAAACTGCAATCATTCGATCAGTGCACACGCTGAATCACGGGAGATACAATGCTGTATCTTATTCGGTTGTTTTCGGATCATTTCAGATCACATCGATTACATCAAGAAAGTCGCAGGCATTGATCATGTTGGTCTTGGTGGTGATTATGACGGCGTACCCAGGTCTGTAGATGCTTATCAAGATTAACTAGTACACTTCCGTAACGATTTATTTCAAGCGATAGGCCGCCGCAGCACTTTTTATTCGTTTAACACCATGACAACCCAAGTGAGGTGCTGGGGATACACTCGAAAGCGAGTGATTCGAAAACGTTCCGAGTGATGACAGTATCACCAAAATTTCTAGTGGTATGTGGTCCCGATTCTACAGTACAAATTATAGCTTCACTAGAACGATAAATTATGGGTTTCTTACTAATCTCCGTGAGTGTACCTGCTGCTCAGTTATTTCCTAAAATCTTTGACCATTGTCGAGGAGGGCAAATGTAAAGAGGTTACAAGAAGTTATTCGCTCAAACGAAATGATAAAATCTTTAAAGGCCAGTTACATGTTGCTGAACGAATAGCTACCATCAAATATGAATCAATCCGGTTTCCATCCATGCAAATAACAATGGTGGGGGTGCCTCAAAATTAGCGTCGATTTGTTAAGAATTTGAGATGGCTCTTATTACTATTAGTTCCTACTTTCAGCACAAACTCGCTTCATTGTTAATCAGCATGTCGCCAAAAATATCCATTCGAGTCAAGTGAGTTTAGGCTCGCCTCAATTCTTTCTAACAGTACTTGAAGTTCTTATCATGTTTAGTTACTAAACACAGAGTTCCGACAGGATTGGAGGATGTTTCAACTTATCCTAAGCTAGTAGAAGAACTCCTCCGGCGAGGATACAGCAATGACGAGGCCAGTAAAGTTGTGGGAGGAAACTTACTCACGGCTATGGAAAAAATGGAAAAGGTTGAGAAATTGGCTCTTTTTCTTTTTCAGGGCAAATTGGTTAACTAATGCTACCTAGTTATGTCCCCCGCCCCTTAATCTTAGGCCTCTTCTTTGTACATAAGAGTTTGCACTGCTCTTTTCCCATAAAACCGTTCTTCCGAGTTTCTCTGGGCGAACTGACTTCCAAAAGATTTCTTCGACATAAAACTGAATCAGACCATTTACATGAAGATTAAAAGATATGAGGTTGTTCGGATTTTAATACCTGAGGATAAAGTTTAAGCAATACCTAGGGTTTTCCTGCCATATTAGCCATACAACAAGGCACGTGACTGTAGTTACGTTACCGCTGTGAAAACATTCATGAGGCAATGAAGAATTTATCATTTATTACTAATTTTTATCATATTATCTCCTTTTAAGGTTGCTGAGGCTAAAAATAACGTTCCACCATTTGATGTCTACATTAATGTCGACGAAACTTGTCGACCAGCTCTTGATGGACTGTAAACTTGATGAAGCACCTCACTGAAAGGCACCAATAAAACTTTACACAGGACAACCTGCTATTTTGGCTTCGACGTTGAGATCTCTGTAATCCTACGGTTTTCGTACAGTAACAATCTGACATTTAAGTTCTTTTTTTACAGGCCAGCATATATAATTTTCCCTAGATTCGAGGCTGAATGATAAAGCCCAATCTAACATAAATGATCGCATACCTTACGATGAAAAAATAACTATATTGATAAATATGCAAAGCACTATTTTCCTCTGATCTGTTGCAATGCTCCAACAAGCGCTGGGGGAGGGGGGGGGGGTTCTTTTACTCCCTGGGAGTGCTGACTCGGTTTTTGTAAGTAAAATGGGAACAACAAATAACAAAACTAGGAAATATCCCAACAGAAACACACTGCTGTGCGCGCTACCATTGCTTACAATTCCCTTCCACAGTCGTGTTGCTAGCGGTTTCGTGTAATTTTATCTTTTTACTTAATTCCTCTATGGCTTCTCTCAATTTTCGAGATACTTACTAACAGAATAGAATTGCACACCAAGTACAATACCAATATATTTTCCCTTTGTTAGTTTGAAATTGGAAAATGGCATAAGATCTTGAAAGACCATCTGTTTCGTTAGAATACTTGAGGTGATTGATAGAAGAGATCTACACATCGCATTTATTAATTCACTGTTTGGCTCCTTCTGGAAATAGAGGGCAGCTTCGAAGAAGATGACTTCCAACTTTCACGGTAACAAAACAAAAACATAGGAATGACTAATACTCCTCTGAACGTACGAGCACTTGACGAATAAAGAAACCAACTTTAAAGCTTTTCCTAGAAGTTTCAGCTTTTGAAAGCCATCATCAATATGAGGTGTCTCGGGGCTCAAACCCAAATCTCTCGATCAGAAGTCCGGCTTGCTAGCCACTTATGTCCAGAAATGGGCGCAGTAACGAAAATGGCAGATTTGACGAGGTTAAGTCAAACCGAGTGAATGTTCCTGTACTTGACGATTTGGGCGAATTTAGTCAAATTCGTCAAAGCCAAATCAGCTTGGCAGAATTGACGATTTTGACGAAATTTAAATCAAATTTGTCGAAGCGAAATCAGCTTGGCGGATTTGACGATTTTAACGAATTTTCGTTACTACATGCGGCATTTGTGGACACCCATCTCTTGCCACCAGGTGCGCATTAATAGCGCTGCCGCATGAAGATCTCTTCGCTCGCGAGGAAGTTAGGGTCTTTAGCAGTACGAGCCGGCGATCGGTTTGCGAGGGTTTGACACTGGATTTTGATAGATGCTCGGAGATTTCGAAATATCAATGCAGGTAACTGCCGGCTTTGCTATTAATTTCTAGGTTGAACTACCCTGAAAGCCACATTGATTAGCTAAGGGCGCCTCTAGATGAAACGAGAACAACAACTCTGTCGAGTTATTTTATTCAGTGCACAACATAATACGGAGTTATGTCAACGAACTTAGAGTTCATATGAATCCCACATCAAGTGAACCTTCTGGTGGCTCCACGTTAAGAAAGTCGCCGATAAAGCCTGGCTGTTTCTCGTCGCCATCTGGTTCATTGTCTTTACCTTCTTTAGAAGTTGTTTCCTGTTTTGAATCCACTGCGTCTTTCTTCCCTAAAAATGAGAAAAACCCCTTGCTTTGATTGCAATTATAAACTTGGAGTGGCAGCGCACTCGGCAAGACTACGCGGCGCCAATGGTGGCTCTAGGGAAATCAGTGATAACAACTTCTTTGATTTATATTGACGAAACGCACACAAATAGAACAATACTCAGTTATTCGTACCCTTTTGCTTTTTTCCAGGTGGTAAACCACAAAGTATACTGTAGTGAGTCCTGTCAAATTTATTAATCTGGACCCGTGTGGAAACCTTAGCTTTCCAGCCACAGATTACAACCCGGCTTCCTATAGTGTCCTCCGGAGAACTAGGAGGAAAGAACAAGCAGTCATAAACAATAACACTCCAACTCACTTAAGTTTTGGCTTCACGTATTTTGTACAATGTAACATAAAGGTAAGGAATTGGAAGGAAGACCTCTCGAGGAACAACTCCAAAGATGATTTGTAAAAGAGACAGATGCAAAATACGGTAGTGATCTTTGGTAATGAATTTTCTTAGGGAATATGGATTATAAATCCTGTCAGGCCACTCTTACGTTTGTTGTTCATGTACTGCACGAGTAAGTAGTTAAGATGCTCAGTATCCTTGATATAAAAGTTAACTAGAGTGCAAACTACTAACCTGTATGGTCCATTGGGTTCATAAACATACACAATACAGCCCTGATCTAAAAATGGCAACATAAGAGTTTCAACTAAAAGAACTTCACGTGGACCCATCCCAATACATGAACATAAAGGTACTCAGTGTAATTATATCCGTGTTCTTGAACTATTGACAATAAACTCTAAGATAGCAGAGCCACAGTATTTTTCCTAAGGAGGAAAATCACAGCTTCATACTTTGAAGCATTACGAAAAATATAATTACAATAAACTTGGCTGTTGCTTTTCAAGTGATCGAAATCCAATGCGTTCTAATTAGTATTCTCTTATTTCGTCCATCCATGCCTTCTTGGTTCCTCTTAAACTTTCATCGTTACATTAAATTAAATTCTTTAAATATTTAAGTCGTTATTCTGGCAATCTAGCTTTGAAACTTCGGTTGAAAGAAACTTATTTTGAAACAAATGTTTATCACAAGTAATCTGTTCCCGGTTGAGTCTGGCCATCGAAGAACTTAAATAGGTGCTAACCAGGCACATTTACTGATCACATCCCAACACAAACGCTGTGAGGGTAATACCCAATGTTATTCATGCAGTAAAATGAAAAATATGGGGATACAATAAAAGCTGAACGGAGTGAGACAAGGGGAAAGTCAACATTTATGGCAAAATGGTACACAGGTGCAGAGTTGGTCTTGTTGATCATTTGTCGCACTGATTTGTAAATGCTCTCAAGTGGTATTCACTACAGCAAGGCTCGATTGCCGAGGCAAACAACATCAACTAGGGAGTGACAATCTCTACCAAAATAACAAAAAAAGTTACAAAATAAGTTTTCAATTCTTAGGGTCCGTCTTTCCAATTTCTTTTGGGTTGGGCTTAATCATACATCTAAGCACACCTTCAATTTTGTCCAACTGCTCCTTTGTCGCACTTGAAAATTCAGTGCAGAAAGGCCTGTCTTGGGTCAACAGGATGACGAGATCCTCCTGTGAGATGGTAACTTTGCGTTTGTTCATGTATGGCAGTACAGCTTCAATACCCTGTGACATCAAGAAAAGAATCCTTCCTCAGAAATGTTTAATTCTTCATCTAGTCTGTAATGACGGAAATACTGGAGCAAAAACTGTCCGTGTGGAGATTTAGTTATCCTTATGTAAGCCAAACATACAACTAAAAAGAAAAAACTGTAAGCTTAGGATTTTTAAACATTGTTTTAAGCAGTCTGCTTGCGCAGCATTGTAGACTCTCTAAGCTGCCTTAAAGAAGAACATAAAGGAATAAGAAAGCAAGCGAGGAAATGGGTCTCAAGCAGTTATTCCTCATTCATGCAAAGTATATGGAATAGTTATCACATGTTCATACCTCCTGCATCAGTCTGAACAGACATCCTGCATTGTCAACCTCTGCTCGGGCAATCACCTTCATACCTGTGTTAACAACCTGGAACGAAACCACATCAAAGGTTACATGTGGTGAAAGTTATTCGGCGTTAGAAACAGTAAAACTGTCGGTAGTCTCTACGTAGGCTGTCACTGGTCATTTGTCGGGTGAAAAATCGTGACCAAGGGAAGGAGAAGGGGAGCTGCTTTTTAACATCATCCTTACTTCAGTGACCTAAAAAGCACAGTTCTCAGCTGCAACACAGAATGAATTCCTGATATACATTATACACGCTTGAGCGTAGGAAACTTCACACAATTTAACCCATATCAACCGATACACAAACCTTGTGTTCGTCAGTGACCATCTCCATGACATCTTTGACTGCTTTGGACACCAGATAAATATTCCTTTTCTTTCCACCAACAGATCTCACCAGAAGTTGATCGACAGGAAAAGCATCGTCTATATCATAAAATTCCCTACAATACAATATCTATCCAAATTAATAAGCATGTAAATGCGTACATTGTGCTCCTACGTGGCTTTATTTCTTCTTGGATATACATATGTGTCATGTGGTTATAAGGTTTATCTATGTGTAAACACTCTTCACAAACTTATTCCTTTATAATCATACCACTATGACAAACATCCCCACGCCTTCTTTTCCTAGTTTACAGAATTACTGTGTACAACTTCAAAGAACACGACGATAATTTCTTACTGTCTCTTTGAATACCGAGAAAAGAACAAAGCTATTGATTAGCTTTCTAACATACGACTCACATGATATAATGACAGCATACACTAGAGTGCGTTTTAGTTTTAGTGAAATAAGGTACGTTTTAGTATTCACTTGTTTCAAAACATCCCAGCTTCTTAATTCACGTATGATCCCCTATTAAGCCAGCAACCCTTCCCTCTCTCCTTTCTTACATTTACCCGGAAAAATTCCTTTAAAAAATTGTGTAAGGCTACGGCTTATCTCCGAGATTTAACCATTTAACCATGCGAATCAATAAGTTATCTCTCACTTAATTTGAGGCCAGTGCTCGTCATCTTCTCTGAGAAATACAAAGGGGTCTTCTTTAAACCCTTTCATTTCCACTTTGGCTTTTTTCGCTGGTGGTTGACCACTACAAATGCAAAAAATATATAGCTTAGACCAGCTGACAGGCAAAACAAGTTGGGGTTATTATTTATCATGGAGGGGAGGGGTGGGGCTCAGTTGTATCAAGAAAAATTTTCATGACTCTTTGCTCTCGATAATGGAAGCAGAGGACGATTATGTTGAAGTGCCCATTCTTCTACAAAAAATGGCAAATTCTGTATCCTTGAATCAATGCACTAATAATCGATAGGTTCTGTTAGTAGTAAATTTGATTGTAATGTTATTCTGTAAGACTATATATTTTGTAACCTTAGCTTGTTTTTCAGTAATTCTTATTTATCCAGATAGTTTATTTAGTTACTTTACAATTATTATTAGTTAGTTAATTAGTTACTTTACAATTATCATATTTTCTGTTATGACTGCTGTAACCTTACCTCTCCGCCCGCCTCGTCTAGCTTTTGCTATTTGCGGGTGGAGATGGCAAAATGATGTGCGTGAAATAAGAGTTCATTCATTCATACTGTTGCCTTCTTTTTCATCAAACAACAACAACAACAACAACAAAAACTCACCAACTGCACATGTTTAGGTTTAAGTTTCAAGATCTAGCCCTTAGTTAGAGCAAATACATCGAAAATGACAAATTTTATATTAATCCGACTCTCGAAATGCCCCGAAGCTTCTCAATGTCCTTCCTTAATCAAATTCTGACATACTAGTTGTTTTACTTGCCCGTCAGCACAGCCTAATTGTTTCTTAACAAACAATTAGCTATGGATGTTATGGAGTTATTATTGACCTAGGTTATTAGTATCCAGCTACAGCTGAGAGCCTTCCTTGGAATAAGCGCCCTCCTACCCTTCCGCGAGAAAGAAAACGTGACTAGATCTACTATGGACCGGAGGTCGGTATTCGGAACTTTTATGGTATGACGCTAGTTTTCATTTCCACCAGAGCTCACCTTAGCAAGTCCGTGAAACGACTGTTCCACTGAAATAAGAACAAACATTTGACTAAAATTTGGGCTGTGTATGTATCGGAGCGAAAATGACCTGTCTTGTATCGCATTCAAGTAAGCTTTTCAGAACAACAAATCCATAAAATAGCCACAACTCACACTTGCGACGAATCTCCAGAACTGTCAACAGTGCTGTCACTCTCTTTATTTTCGCCTGCAGAATGTTCTTCCTGTGGACCATTTTCTGTACTGTCGTGTTCTTCAAAACTCTCAATTGTCATTCTGTTAGCTTCGTCATCTTCAGCAAGATCTAATTCAGTTTTTTCAATGTTAGAATCATTGTCGTCAACCAGTTCATCAGGTTTATCGGACTCGTCCTGTTCGTAGTCCATAACTTCATTGGTGCTTGCAGGTTGCTCACAATAATCGGTATCAACCTGACTGTTGATGGCAAATTCACACGTAGCAGGCTTTTCTGAACTCTTTGTCCCCTTTTCGGTTTGTTGTTCCACGCTACATTGATCAGAGTCAGTTTTTCTGGTCTCAATGGGCGTCCGTGAGGTAACTTTGGCTTCTTGTTTTCCGCACTTTGCTTCTTTTCTCGTCTGTAAAATGAAAAAAATTATGGACAGTCAAACTAATTTTGTAAGCTAAAACCTATAACCAATTCAATGTTTTTCAACATAAATAATTAACAGTAATATTTTTGTGTCTCTTGATGGCTTGGCAGAGTAAAGGAAATATTACAAACTATGCAAAGAACTGATTGCTGTGTATTACAAGTTATTCTATGGACGAGAGTGTTCTACCGGGAACTAAAACGATCGTATAATCAATACGACAACTACATCCGGGAACCGAGTGGTGTACTTTTCGTAGGTAACAGGAGTGGTCAATACCAAGATTTCCCCCTTTTCAAACTTTGCTGAATTAATTTAATTGTTTGTTGTTAAGAACACAAGGGAACGAAACACTATCTCCACTACAGAGCTCTATTATTTAGTGCCAAGGAGAAGATCTCTCGGCTCTGGAGTATGGGAAGCACAGAGATGTTGAATGACCAACAAATGGTACTTTGAACGTGTAGCATAAATTTCACAAAAAACATGCGTGGACTTGCATTAATTTTATGAGAGTTTGCAAGTACATGAAAACGACAAGAACCTATGATATTCCATAGATGCATGAGGGGAGATACATGAGGGAGGATATCTTAATTTATTCACCGTAATTAAGTGTCATTTACTTTAATAGAATCCTACCTGCCAGTCTGCCATGCTCTCCCAGGGTAGTAGCCTCGGGTTATCACTATATCTGTTTCCATTTTCCCAATGTGATGTTTTCTTTTTTTCAAGAACTGCGATGAAAAATCCTCCTGTGTCCTGCTGATGGGGATATATTCTTACACTGTAAAGTTAAAATTATCAGACTTAAAGTGAAGTCAGCACCAGCTCACATACTCAGTGAAAATACTCCACTGTTTACCAGCTACAGATTGAAAATGATAAGGACCATGCCAGGTTGGTGTAAGGTTTGTGGACATCTGAAAAGATTTTGGGATTTTTGGGTAAAAAAAAAACACAAAAAAATGCGGGTTGTATGATATAAAAGAATGTTCCCAGGAAATTCAGAGCGATGAAATTGTAACTATCGTCACTTTAAGAGGTGGATTAGACAGATTAGTGCTGGAAACGATAAATGCGCCAATGGCTGGTTTCTTACCTTTTGTTCAAAACAAGAATATATCAATTTATAAAAAAAAGGAAACAATAGCCTGGATGAAACATGCTTCGTGAGACACAAGATTGTTGAATTAAGGTGGCTCGTACCGCA